GAGAGTCGATGCTTGAATTATATTAGTGTTGTGAGTGGTGTTTTAGATGTGCCACATTTAGTCTATGCTTTAATTAAATAAAAAACTTAAACTAACAAAAAAAACCACTTAAAGTAAACTATTTTAACTTGAAAAATAATTAATTGCCAGACTACAACCAAACATACTCCTTAGAGTTTCTAGAAAAAGATTTGGGGATGTTATTACTCTCACCTGGTCCAGACAATAGAAACCAATTATATTAATACATAATTAATTGTTGATTATAACAAAAATAAATAATTATCTTAAACTTTGTGTTAAAATCATAGATTTTAAAGTATTTTTAAAATACTTATTTTATGGTTAAAGTATTTCTAATTAATTTTATTTTTTACACTAAATGGTTTTCAAAAAAAAAAAAAGAAAAACAATACCACAAAAAGGCTAACAATTTTTATTTTCAATTTTATCAAAATGGTTTTTAATATTTTAGTTATTTTTTTGTTATCTAAAATTTAACATTATTATTTATTCCCATAAAAGAACTAAAAGAGTTAAAATGAATTACTTGTTTGCATACCTTTTATCTTTTTGTGTTCTTGTTATTACCCTTCTTCTTATTGCTATTCTTAAAAGATGTTTCTCATTACAGTCTTGTATTTCAAGAAAATTAACTCATATTTTAACTGGTCCTTTTTTTATTTTAACTTGGAAATTTTATCCAAATACCTCTCTTTCTTGTTATATTGCTGCAACTCTTCCATTGGCAATTTCTATCTTATTATTATTTTGTTATCTTTTCCAGAAATTATCTTTATCTCAATTTATCCTTCAAATTATGTCAAGAAATAAAGACCCTCATGAATTACTCGAAGGCCCTTTTATTTATGGAGTTGTTATTTCTCTTATTACTATGCTCTTTTGGTATGACACACCTATTGGTATTATTTCTATTATCATTTTATGTTTAGGAGATGGAATGGCTGATATAATTGGTTCTCAGAGTACAAGAGCAATTCCAGCCCCATTCGGTAGAAAAACATTTGATGGGTGTTGCTCTTTTATCTTCTTTAGTTTTATTGGTTGTTTAGTCTTCGAATATATAATATTTAGGCAAATCTGGATACTCAATACCCTAGCTATCGTTAGTCTTGGTTGTCTTACTGAGTTTATTTCTCCATCATTATTTGATAACTTAACTATTACATTAACAACGTCAATAACAGCTTTTTTTATTCAATGGTAATTATTCTATTTAGGTTATATATGAATAGAACCAACATGACTAAAAAAAATTATTATTAAATTCTTTTATGATTAGGTAATTATCTTTTTATCATTCTTTTTTAGTTTATCAAACCTATATTCTAAATTCTCTTTAAACAAAATATTTATATTACTTTATTCTTTCTTGATAGAATATATGGTGTTTTTCATTCATAAATACTTATCTTTTTTCCCAAATAACATGTTATATATATTTCAATTATTTTAATATAAATGAATATGTTGTGAATTGGATAATTAGAACCTTTTGGCATATTATATAAATTATTAGAAAGGTTATTTAACGCTAAAACCAACCAAAATTAATGCAAAAATAATAAAAGCAATTAAATGATAGATAAAAGCTTGTCTGAGTATAATATTTGGTAGTTTTTTCTTAGAAAAAAAAGAGATAATAAAGAAATATAGAGTTTGTTTATTTATACATAAGAACCAATTGAAATAAGTAAATTTTTGTTTTATAATATTAAGAATTTATTATTTTATTTTATTAAACCTTACTAATATTATTTCCTTTTTTTACTACTGCTATTTATTAATTTGTTTATATTTAAACAACAAAAAAGTATTTACTCTTATTATGATTATTTATTATTGAGACACGAACTAACCTGGCACCCATAACAAAAATTCAAATATTATATATCAACAATAATTTTCAGTCTTTGTTTCAGAAGTAACATTGAATTAATTATTTTTCGTTTACCATTTTTAAATCTCTTCTTGCATGGAATGATTATTTTTTTCATTTCATATTTTACTTCTTCTTTTGTAATTTTAACTTTTGTATTATTATTATTTTCTCTTTCTTCTATAACTGTTTTATTATATTTATTATCATTTTTTTTTCTTTCATATACTTATCTAAGAATATAATTGTTTCATCATCAATTCCATATCTTTAATTTCGTTTTTTTTAATTATTTTCCAATTTGTTATCATTATTTTATTTTTGCTTATTCTTT